TAGAAGTGCACCGATACATTGGTCCGATATCGGATAAGCACTGGTATAAAGAAAATTGAACGTAAATCGGAAATTGGCTTGATGTGGCCAATAATTCGGCTGATAAATGCCTGTGCGCGCGCATAGCTACAGTGCAGTGAACAGTCAGCAAGGAGCACAGACTGGCAGCTTGGAGAGCTGTGTGCAGCTAGTAAGTCTGGTGTGGTAGAAGGGATGGGAAGGGGCAGATCAAAAGGTCCCTGCAGTGAGGGAGGAGTGAGGCTGGGGCAAGAGGTGCCCAGCCGGGACAAGGCGGGCACAGGATGGAGCTGCAGCTTGTCTGGGGTGCATGGGGCAGCTCCTACCATTGCACGCTGCTTGTCAAGGAGTCACCGGTCCAGCATTTGCCCAGTGGCTCCCACCACTCATCCGGGAGGGCATGGGGAAAGGGGGGCATGTGCCCCCAGATCTGGGAGGGGCTCTTCCCAGCCCATCACACCCAGATCGGGGAGGGGGGAATATGCCACCCCCACCCCCTAGACAAGCAGCAGGAGCAGTGGTGTAAGCTGCCAGGCGACTGCCAGCCCAGTGGCTCCCGGACAAACCACAGCTCCATCCCACACCCTCCCCGGTTGGGCAGCGCTTACCCCAGCCCCAGACCTACTCCTTCCCTCACTGCGGGGTCATTGATCTGCTCCCCCTGGCCCCTTCCACCACAACAGACTCACCAGCTGCACGCAGCTCTCCAAGCTGCCGAGCTGGTATCAGAAGTCCGATCAATACCAGCAGGTGCCTCCTTAAAAGTCAGCTATTGGTACTGGCCTCAAAAAAAAGGTCTCCATCAGTGCACTTCCTAGGTTGTTTCTGGAGATGTTTTTTGTTTTTTTTAAATGAAGCACTACAAAATTTATACTGACAAACTGAAGTCCAAACTACTCAATCATTTAATTTGCACCGCAGGTTGGCAACTAAACTCCCAACATTTATACTTTAGTAATAAATTATACCAAGCCACTTGTGTGGAAGTATTCTCGATGCATCCATTTTACCATGTCAGTAAGTTATCAGAAAAGCTAAGAACCAACTAGAAGTACCTACCTTGGGCTTTGAGAATAGCTGCTTTGCCTCGTCCAGCCCCCGAACCCTGGTTTTTATTCTTCATGCTCTTTAGCATAGGAGCATTTTTCAACATGTCTGGCAAAATAAGGAACCGGATCTTGCTACCCCTAATGTACACCTGCTCCAGCTGTGCCACTCGCCCATCTCTGTATGTCACTGTGATATTGGACATCTGGAAGACAAAAGCTACTCAATACCTCTAACACAATGAGTTTTACCTCCAGAATTCAGGTATGGAGTCTACAAATAGGAAGAGCTGTTTGGGTCTAGTACACAGCAGATTTAAATTAGTTGAGCATGTAAATAACATGATGGGGAAAGAGAGAAGAGACCAAGCTACATAGCCTAGTACTTAATGAACAGCCACGTGTTGCACAGCTGGAAATCCAGCTTGAAAGCAATAGACTGCCTTGCAGAATATTTAAATACTCTTCTTTCCTCCTGCATGTGTCAGACTGGGCATTTTAAGTCATCCACACGCTCATCTATTCACAGTATCCCAGAGGAGGGAGACTGTCCACATGGTGGCTTAAGTGTTAACACTCTAACTAGAGTAACTGCAACACATCCTGTTCCTTCGACTAACCAAATCAGAGACTTCAGGCTAGCGTGGCTAACCACCTCCACATGGGCTTCTTTATAGAAAAACATGTTTTCATGCTTCATTACTTCCATCAGCCAAGGAAATACTTTGCTCAACGTGAACATTTGGCCTCAAGTCAGCCACAGTGAAGCCCCAGCCCGATTCGACACACTTTAAAAAAAAAAAAGGCAATTATAAAATAAACTTAGGGGAAAAAAAATCTCTTCTGGGGAAGGAAGGAAGAACTCAAGCTAGCTGATGATATGAGAAGCTCTTGTCACCAGCACCACATGCTCAGACCTGGTAAAAGGATAAGTGGCTGTTGATGGTAGAAACAGAAGTGGCCTCAGAGGCAGGCTGAGATGTGCAGCTCCCTGCTTTCCGCTTCAGCGCTACAGTGTTTTACCAACCCTAAGCCCGTTGCTCAGGCAAGCACCTGAGGCAGAGTAGAGGCCTCACCCCCCTTGCCTCAGTAGGGGCCACCCCGGGCCGGCCTACCTGGCAGTTCATGTTGTCCTCGGCCTCGATGAGCTTGCCCCGATACACCTCCCCCGTGTTGGTCTCGCACGTCACGATGTGGCCCTCGGCCTCGTGCAGCACCTTGATGGGCACCCCGATCGACATCCCGGCGGCGGCGGCGCGGCTCTACCCTGCGGGAGAGGAGAACAAGACAAGGCCGGGGGGGTCAGCGCCTCCCGCACGCTCTGCCCGGGGTCCCGTCACAGCAGAAGGCGCCTCGACACGCTCCGGGGAAACCAATACGCCGCCCCTACGAGACGCCGACCGCGGCCAACTCCCCCGGCCCCGGCCGCCACCCACCGTTAGCACGAAGCTCACAGCGTGCGGCCCGCAGCAGCGCTCTAATGGCCTCTCGCACTTCCCGCCCTGCCCCGCGCGCCGGAACCGGAAGTCCGGCGTCCCGCTCTAAGCCGCGGCGCCCCAGCTCTATGGTCGAACGGGGACGCGCCACTCGGGTGTCCCCGCGCTGAGGGGCCGGCGGGAGGCGGCGGCCAGGGGGAAGGTTCCGCCCGCGTCCTCCTCCCGCCTCCCCCCCGCCGAGGGGCGACCGGGGGGCGCCCCCCCC